CTGATGCTGGGAGTTTTACAGGACTGCATGCAGTGAAGTCAAGACCACAGGCAGAGGTGTTCCTTCATTTACAAGAAAATACCTGTATTTCCAACTTGTCCTTCCACTGTTTTCTAGGAGAATATGCAGGATTTGATGAAACACAACCAACAGCTGAATCAGGGGGGAAAGGGAAGGTTATCACTCATCTCAAAGAACAGTTCCATTTCAAGAAAGTGGTTATGATTGGAGATGGAGCTACAGATATGGAAGCCTGCCCCCCTGGAGTGAGTATTACAGAAATCCTGAATTCCTTCTGAGCAAATCCTTGGGGGGAAAAAGAAGAGTGAGGTTTGGATTCTTTAATAAAAAAATTACCAGAAAGACAACTTTTATAAATGGTCATGTCCCAGGGAGAGATTTTAATTCCATTTCCCCTTCAGCTCCTTTCCCCACACAAAAGTCCCCCAATACCCCAAAGCAGCTCAGGATTTGTTTAAGGATGGAAACCTCAAGGAAAAAAAACAAAAAACAAAAAACCCCCCACTGCAGTGGAAATTTTAAACCCTGCACTTTCACTGCAGGGGGTTTTGTGAGATGTAGAAATGATGATTGCTCTGGTTAATGATTGAGGACAGGGTTAAAGTTTGCTTTTGGTATCTCTCAGATGAGGTAAACAGAGGTAAGATAAACAGGAGAGGGGTAATTGTGGGATGCTCATGCATGAGTCAATGTGTACTTGCTCTTGAATTGCATCACATTTACATCAGATTCTCAGTAAAATCTCACATCTGGACAATCTGGAAGCTACAAGGCACTGAGAAAAACCCCAACAACCAAAATGCTGCAGAATTAATTGTTAATAAATCTGAAAAATGAACATGCGAAGGAAAACGGGGCAGGGAGGAATACCGTGATTTTCATATCCAGTCTTGAAAGCAAACTTAATTACTGAGAACTCCATTCCTTCCAGGCAATAATCCATGTACCCATTCCTTGTGTTTTTCCAGGATTGCTTCATTGGATTTGGAGGCAACGTAGTCAGAAAGCAAGTAAAGGAGAAAGCAAAATGGTACATCACCCACTTTGACGAATTGCTAAAGGAGCTGGAAGAGCGATAAATCCTCGTGTAAAATAATCTATTTAACACCTGTAAATCCATTATACAATGCCATTAAACATTTATTTGTTTGCAAACTTGTGGGCTGGAGCTTTTAATGATGCTGGGAGTTGGGGACCTTCCACTCTGGCTCGTGTGGCAAATGGCACTGTTCTACTTAAATAGATTGTAATGAAAATGGGTAAGATTTTTTATAAAGCTTTGCTATGGTGGAAGAAATAAATTGATTATTTACTTCCAAGTGAAGACCAAACAGAGACAATAAGAAGTTAAAAATACCTTAAGGGATTATCTCCAGGTCAATATTGCACATCTGTTCTTTCATCAGTAATGCCTCTACTTATTTTGGGTGACAAAAAAAGAACAGGGCCACAAACAAGAACTTTGCCTAATAAATAATAATAGTAATAATAACAATAACAGTAACAATAACAACAATAATAATAGTAATGTAATTCAGGCTACAGTTTGGCAGGTACCTTTCACTGCACAGAATCTCAGTAGCAGGTAATTAGTGAACAGGTAGAAAACATTGGTAAATATCTCTGAGATCATTAAAATTATGGCTACAGAGATCCCGAGGTGTCATCTGTTACATCAGTTACTCAACCTGAGGCAGGAGCTGCATGGAAATCTGAGACAGATCCAATGTTCATCCCTGGCCAAGAAACATTTTCTGCTGAGGGACAGAGTGGTTCCCATCCTTCATCAAAATACCCCAATCAAACTCCAAACTGCTGATTTTGGGAAGTGGTCCCAATGTTTGTGGAATTGTTTTATGCATCTACCAACCCACCCCCATCAGCTGGAACGGGATGGGAGCAAATTCATCAACTTTTAAAGGAAATTCTGGGAAACTTCAGTCCCTTCCTCTGCCTCCAACATGGATTAACCCCCCTGAACCATGCCAGAGTTAAGCCTGACCTGTTCTAAGAACTCTGAGCTCCAGCTGATGGATCCTGGTTTTTTAAGGAGTCTCTTTAGTGTCTGATCCAAGAGAATACACAGGGTAAATGCTGACAAATCTCCTAAGTGTGTTTTTTGGTTTTTTGTGGGACTTTTCTCTCCCTGACTTGTGAGAATCTCACCTGTGAGGATGTGAAAAGCTTTACCCATGTTAAAATACATCATGCCTGCCCTTCCTTCAATCCTCACAACACACAGGAGGAAGATGGGTAAATATGACATGATTTAGTGTAAAAAAATTGAGTATCTGCAGAGGTTTTTATCTTCTAAGTGCTTACAAAGAGCCCCAGTACTTTTCCAGAAACTGAAGCCTGGCAATTCTCTTTCACCCCACCCCATATTTCTGGATGGAACAGAAACAAGTGACGTCCCTCCCCTCCAAAATTTCACATTGTCTCATAATAATCACCACTTTTCACAACTAGCACTGAATTTCCTCAAATTGTGATGATTAAACCAAGGTGCCACGAGACAGCTGCTGTCCAATAAAGCACCACCAGAATTAAAGCAAATTCTGCTTCTGTTGATTCTGTGACATCACTGAGGAGGGGACAGAGGAGTTAACACAGCCCAGAGTGAGCTGTGCAGCCCTCAAATGTTTTTGGCTGGAAGTTACAACAGCATTGAAATAGCAGAGAAGAAGAAGGTTAAAAGAAAACAAATCCAGAACCAAACTTGTGATGCTTTTTGGAGCAAGGGAGACACACAAGAGCCCCGGAGGGTCTGTAGAGACTTCAGCAAACCCCACAAAAGCCAAGCAGACAATGGCTGGCAGTGCTCCCCACAACTCCTGGGAGTGTTAAAGATGGGCTCTTTGAAATTCTTCCTGAGCAAAGTCCCAGCCAGCTCCCAGGGCAGCTCATGGACAATCCTGCTTTTGTTCAGGCAAGGCTGCACGAGCAGGGCACGTCTGAAGTGTTTCTGCTCCTGCTGTTTCCCTGTGCAATCCCACAGCTTCGAAGATAAGGAGTTTGTTTGCTGTTTTTTATGGAATTGAAAGGCCACGAAGGAAATAAATCTGACATGGAGCTGATCAGCTGGAGCTCCAGGCACTGGGACATGGCTCAGGGCTCTGTAATTCCCCCAGTGCCAACATCCCTGGGAGGAGGGATGTTAACATTCACAGCAGGAGCTTCTGCCAGTCGGGGCACTATGGAAACGTGGGGCCGTGCCAGGGATTTCACAACAGCTCTTTAGGTCGGACTGGCTTGGAAATAAAATGCCCCCCTCCCCTTCCACTGGGCAAATATTGAGGCTGACCTCTAGCCCAGGAGGATTGCTGAGCTCAGGGAGAGGCTCAGCTGTTTTGTCTGTGAAATAGTGGAAAATTCCCAGCAGGGAATAAAGCGGGCTGAGGAAAGTTTTGGTGTCACAGATTTGCCCGGACAGATCCCAGCACCGAGGGGCAAAGTCTGGGGAGCAGCACAGGTCACACAGGGAGCACCTGGGCTCCAGGTGGGTCTTCTGACCACCAGCCTTCATGGAAAGCCTTCTAATGTGATTATTCAATGAGGGAGAGTTGCTTAAAATTATATATTTGCATGAGGGACAGTTTGCAGCCTTCTCCAAGACAATTAAACCTGAGTTTTAATTGTGTCATTGCAGTGGAAGAAGAGGTAAGAGTTGCCAGAGGCCCTTCCAGGCACTGTTCCCCACTTTCCAAACTTTGGGAAGCGACTTCAGTTCTGAATCCAGCAGCTCTGCTGGAAGAAATGCTGAGGGATTGCTCATCTGAGGAAAACCTGAACTCAGCCATGGAATTAAGAGGGGAAAATCCCAACAGCATTCACAGAACCAGGGAAAACCAAGGTCAGGCAAAGGGAAGCCAGGGAAGATGGCATTACCCATTTACACTGGAGTTCACATTGTTACCTGTGAGGAAAGGAACAGGAATTGTTTTATCTGCAGGCAGAAGAAGAGGAATGAATCTGTACCTGAGGGCAATCAGAGCACGAGCAGGAAGCTCAGAATGAGGGGAGGCACATCCACAACACATCAGGCATCGGTGGGAATTCAGAATTCCAGGGGGAATTCAAGATCCTGGGAGTGGGTTAGGGACCTGCACTCTGTGATGTCACCCCACAGGACACCCAGTTACTCCTATGATTCCTTATTCAGGCCAAACTTTGTGGCCTTTGAACAACAAGAGCTGTGCCAGGCAGAATTTAATTCCTGGTGAAGGTAAAAAACATGGATTGCATCAGAACACGAAAAATCCTGTACCTAAAAATGTTTTTTTCTGTTTGTCTCTGGCTGAGATTGCTGGATAAGAGTTACAAGAAATTCCTCAGGGAAAAGAAATCTGGGAGGATGCTGGGAGAGATAAAAAGGTCTGGAAGGTGATATTGGCATCCCTTTTTTCCTCCTGCAGCTGAAAAGTAGCCCCAAAAGTCTGGAAAAATGTCAGCCCCAGGTAATATCTCTGCTCAGGGCTGATTTACAAGAAGGATCAGCTCAAATAATTTCCTTGGCCCACTGAGCAACTTAAAGCTGACAGAGCACAGAATCTGACTCCGTAAAATCCCATCATCACCTGACAGCAGGAGGAAAATATAAAACCAGACAAGAACCAGGTCAAATATTGACTTTGTTCAAGAGGAAATTCAAGGGGAGGCACGAGTGCAGTGCATTTCATGTAATTAGGAAAGAAATCACACCCGAAAAATGAAGCATGAATCTGTGGAGAACAATCCAAAGTGTTCTGTATTTATCACCACAGCACTCAGCACCTCTAGAACACTCAGCAAAATGGGATGTGATGGAGAGATGATAAATTCACTTTAGAGAAGGACAGCAGAAAATGAGAAACGCCATCTCCGACTCAGAGAAGTGATATTGGTTAATTAAGCTGAAATATTCTAAATTTTCCATATTAAACACTGCTAGAGGAGAGAAAACACAAGAGGTGCAATACATAGGAGATGCCAGCAAAAAGTGAAAATTAAAAGGCTTTTATTGACTGATATGTTCTTCCTGAAAACTTCTTGAAATGTACAAACTGGACATTCAGAACTGATTTGTACATTCAGTATGTTACACTGATTCTTGGAGCCACTTGAGAGAGAGAGAATATTATTGTCACTTACAGGATGTTCACATCGTTGCAGACACCAAAAAGTGTGGATACATTCTAGCCTAAAAGTGAAACCAAAACAGAACTGGACACCATGGTACACGGAAATGCCGACCCCAGCTTCACACACCAACCCAGCCACGGGGACTGCAGCCCCCCTCCAAGCCTGAACCTGCAGTGCTTATTAAATTCAACCCCTTTTCCCAGATTTTGGAGCTGTTTGGGGAGGGAAATGCTTTGGAGAGGATTGATTCCCTGCAGGGTGTTCAGGCAGTGTCTGTAGGGGAAGCGTGGCTCACCCTGCGTGGGATTCATTCCGGGGGGAGGTTCCACAACAATGTGTGCTCAGAGACCCTGCAACGCCCCTTTCTGTCCAAAATCCATCCCCTGCCACACAGGATTATCCCAAATTAATGACTGCCTGCTTTGGGAATGGAGATTTGCTGATTTCAGGCCTGCTCCACCAGCCAGGGGTGATTTCACAGCAATCCCAGAGCCGCTCGTTTCACAATTTGAAATGAAATTCTCATTTCTCCAGAGCTCCTCCTTTCACTCCCACGTTTGTTTCGGAAAGCTGCAGTCATTAAATGCTCACAGCAGTGCTGTTCCTGAGCTCTGGGCAGTGCCTGTGGGAGCAGAAGACTGCAAATCCTGCAGGTCACACATTAACTGGGGACCTGGCCCACAGATTTGGACTTGTTTTCAACTCACCAACCTTTTAATCACAGTTCTGTAGATATTTTTTTTCCCTCCCCCAAGAGCAGAAGGTCGTGGGTTCTGAAGAAAAGAGGTCTCTTTTATAAGCTCAATACAGTACTTTTATATTTCAGACTATGATATACAGTGTATACCATAAATTAAGACAAATACTTGTCACTTCATCTATGTAGGCACAAGAAAATCAGTGACTTTACTGCAGTGGAGAAATCTTCAAGGGTATCATGATTCTGGACTCCATCTCCTGAATAAGGGGCACTGAAAGAAATGGAGAGAGGTTTTAATTTCACTGACAGAGTTCAGCACATTCTGTAATCATCCCTCTAGCACAGTCGTTTTGGGAAAAAATGATTTTAATATCATCTCTCTGCTGGTTTGAAGACAAATATTTCCATTCTTTTCATCAAAATGGAAGTGATCCTACATTTTTCTGGTGTAACTTCCTTTGAAAAGTGCCCTATGGAACCCAAATCTGACATGCTTGGCACACTTCTGGGAGTTTTGTTGTGACAGCTTTCTTTGATCTCAAAGATCTCCTGGCTTTTCGTTCCAAAGTCTAAATTCCCTTTTCCCAGCAATGCATTTAACAAGGCTCCTGTATTTCATGAAATATTCGAAGTAACCATTTAATAGAAAGGTAAATTTCACTCCTGGCTCCCTAAATCTTTGGACAAGCATTTACAGAAATCTGTTCTTCCACAGAAGTGCTGCTATAAAAATCCATTATTAATGCAGCAATTTTTTAGCACTTGGGCAACTTTTCCACCTACAACCAGTTGCAAAATTCACTTTACAGCTCAATGCAAAGTCCCTCTGCTCCTCTATAGCCCAAAAACTGACACAGACACACATTTCCCACTGAGGTACAAAACTTTTTCTCCCAGTGGGATGTGCTGAGGAGCAGAGAGGGTAGCCCAGCCCAAAGTCTGCCCCCAGCATTCCAGAGAAGTTAATGGGTTACCTGTGTAATAAACCAGTTCATCCCAGCCAGGTTTGTGCCACGCTGCATTCCTTATATCTTCCCTGGTTTGCAGGTCTTTGTAAGCTGGGAAAACAAGCACAAAGTGACTCTTTTCCCTTCTGCACAGGCAGGGATCCCTTAAAAGAACTCCAAGGAGGAATCAGGAGGCTGGGAACAGCGGGAAGGAGGAAAATCAGGAGTTCTCTGCCAGAAGGAAAAGCTGCCAGAGCAGCAGGAACAGGAGCTGGGGAAGAGAGAGAATGCCTGGGCACAGGTAAGATAAAGCAGGGGCACAGCTCTACACGAGGGCTGCCAGACTGCTGAAATAGAACATTCTGGATTGTTGGGATCTGAAGAAAAAACTGAGTCATTTCTAAGAAATTATTGTTTTTCAAGTTGAAACAATAGGAAGGTGTTTATGAATATGAACGCACAGAGAAAGCCAAAACACCTCCATGCAGGAATGGAAATAAATGACTTTCCTTCCTGCAGGTGTGGCGAGTGTGAGGCTTGAAATAAAACTATAAAAAACTGATTTCAGCATCAGTTGGGACAGCAGGATTGTGGTTGTGGGACTGAGAGCAAAAAACACTGAGCTCCTAATGAGAAAAGGAAGGCAGAAACTGTGGGAGAAACAGAACAAAACCAGTAAATATTCATTTCTTGTTCAGTGGAGAATAAATTTGCCTACACAAAAATAATCATAAAAAAATCAACAAATTAAGAAATCAAAAAATTTAGGAAAACAAAGAAACTTTAAACCCCAACTTTTAAGACATTTCCTTTGCCTTTTGTAAAAATATTTCCTTCTGGGCAAAATGACTGGGCTGATTCAGTGGGAGGAAAAAAAAATCAGAGAACAGGAATTTACCCCAAAGGTGATGGACCATGTAGAGCTGTCCAATCTGGGAGAAAAATCCCCCAACTGCTTCATTACTGTCCTGTCGGAACCGAATTGCACGAGCCCTGCAGAGGAGCAAAGAGACATCAGAGCCTGCACATCTGGGCAGGAAAACAGGGAAAATGGGGAGGAAAACAGAGTGGAAGGGAAGCTGGGATGTTAAAGTGCATTTTCTGCACACTTCAGCAATTAAAAGTAAGAAAAAAGCTGCACCATGCTTTTTTCCAGCACTAAATAATTAAGATTTACCTCTGTGTCTTGTTAGGATGCATTAAAATTAGAGGCTACATTTTAACTAAACTTTGCATTCATCATTTTTCAACCAAATTCAGGATAAAGATAATTGCTGGAACAGTGTAAAGTGGCATTTTTATAGCAGGTTTTATAGCTAAATCCTTAAGTTTTAGTCATGTCAGCTTTGCCACATTTATTTTCCACAGGTTTTATGATAGTGGAATACAACTTTTTATTCATGCTGACCTTTGCATAAATTAAGATAAATATTTCTCTTGTTGTATCTTATAAAACAGATTTTCTACCCATAGAGCTGTGCCTATTTTATAAAAGAAAAAATAAATATAAATTAAATTTGTTCAAATAACTGCAATTGAGAAAATTATATCTAAAATGACAAGTCTGAAAATCTAAGTCCTCACCTTCGTCCAAATTATTGAAAATACTCCAAATTGTTTAACTATCAACCACTAGAATTGCAAGGACAGAGAGTGTAAATTGGAATAAGCTTACACTGGTTAAAAATAAGACACAACCAAGAGCATATAATCAATAGAAAACTGTCTCAAATACTTCTAACCCATACATTAAAATACAAATGTGCTGCTCAGCAGCTTTTCAAGAAGCAACATGACTTTGAAAGCTTAAAGAGCCAAGATTTAAGCTGAAAGTGGTCTTGGGAAAGATGAACCAAGTCTCCCAGAAGAAGTGTCACTCTTCCCAAGCAGCCTTCTGCTGAAAATCCAGATTTTTTGCAGCAAACTGAAAGGGTTCTGGGAAGCAAAGCCAAACCACAGAGGTTTTTTTGTACATAAAATTCATTTTTTTTCCCCTCAGAGGGTCACAGGACAGTCTGCCCAGAGGTGTAAGTGCAGCAGCAGCCCCTGAACTGGGGCTTGGTGCCTTTGAGGCCACCCTGGCACCTCCTGTCCTGCTTTTCCTGCACCTCTCAACCAGGAGCACCCCAGGGCTGAAGGCAACACTTACCAGTAATTGCCCCATTCAATCATTGTTCCAGGCTGCAAAAACAAAACACACTGTTAAAGCTGCAGCTTAAAAAAAATAAAATCTACTATTTTCACATGGTTTCTGTATGGAAACCAGCCTGTATTAAAGCAATCCCTTCCTCTGAGTGATAAGAATATTAAAATAATCTCTAATTGCTCTGTTTACCACCTCTTAGTCACCTCTGAGGCATCCCTCAAAGCAAGCACAGGGTTCCAGCCCTGCAGACATCAGGATCCTGTTGGAGCCTCAGACCCCACACTCTGAGAGCAGCCCTGAATCAGGAATCAGCTTGGACAAAAAGCAGTTTTTTCACACAAGCTCTGTTTGCCATAAAAAAACTACGAAGGTTTTAGGACAGCACAGAGCTTCAAAAATCAGAAAGAAATAAAATCTGGACTTACTCTGAGTTGGTAGGATCTCAGTTCATAAATATTAGGGCCATCTCTGGGAACAGGTTCATTCCAGAAGCTGAACTCCAGCAGGAGCTGGTTCTTACGGGAGAGGAGCATGTTACCCCTCTCCTTACGGAATTCTGTGAATTCCTAAAAAATAACGTGGGAAATGGGTCAAGTTCTGCAACAACAAACAGCAGGGCACCTAGGATGGCTTAGATTGGGGTTTTTTAAATGCTGTCAGGGTTGTGGGACAGTGAAATCCTGAAAGGAATTGGAATTCTCCCTGGTGCATCTGAGAATTCCAAGGATTTACACGTGAAATATTCAGGAATTAAACCTGAATGTGACAATAAATCCTTTCTCAAAGAGGTTTCTGGGCTTGTACAGGAAGGATGAGACACTTTGATATCTAAATCTGCATTTTTCATTTGCTCTGCCTGTTCTTTGCTCTCTCCTGAGTAACAAAATCAGTATTTTTTACCTTATTTTGACGAAGTTTGCTCATGACCTCATTGAGAGCTGGGTAACCTCCCTCATATCTCCACAAATGAACTGAAACAGAAAAAAAATCAGTTTTTTCAGTGATGTCTCAGACCAGTGGTAAATCTTACGAAAAAAAATCACACTATAAAATGCTCTTCACAGTACAAAATTACACAAAAATAGAAACCAGGCAGCAGGTTTGAAAATAGATTTTCATTAATGAAAGCACTACACTCTGGAATATTTTAGGGATAATGGAATCATCTGCTTTTTGAAAGGGGTTCTCTTGGTAAATTTTGCAATTTACTCTGAGGGTGACAGGGGGATTTCTGAAATGACTTTTTTTGTTGCTGTGCTAGGAAAATGTGATGACTTGTCATGACTGTTACTGAAATTAATATTTAGCTGAAGAGGATGATTTAGTTCCAAAAACCTGCTTTATACCAATTTCATCTAAGAGCAGTAGAGGGGCAGATTTTCAGTTCAGTAAATTACTCCAGCACAAAAGCAAGACACTTTCTGTAGGACATGAAAAACAATGCAAATGCTATTTCTCAGCTCAACATTAATAAAAGCAGAAGAAAAGTGAACATTTGCTATGTTGCCCCATAAAAACAATTCCAGGATCTATCTCTGTATCTAATTTTTTTTTTCAAAGCATTCCCTCTTTAATAAATCAGAATAAACCCCTATAATAAATTACAGAAAGATGTATTTACAAGCATTTAGTATAGTGAGGCAATAATTTCACCTCACAGGAAAATAAAAGATATTTTTTCCCCCTTTTAAGGAGCTCTGTGCCTTTTCCAAGAGAACAAACGAGGCTGATGGGAGGTACTTCCCTGTGAGAGCAGATCTCTGCTCCTGCTGCCTCACCCCCAGGGCAGATTTGATGGATCCACCTGATATTAACCCAGCACTGAGCAAGTCAAACCCCACAATCTGCTTTATTCCAGTGTTGCAAGAACATTTCCAAGGCAGGCTGGGGATGCAGTGACAGATCCAGCCTGTGTTAATCTGTTCCAAAAGCAGCCACTAGGACTTGCCTGAGGAATTCCCATTTCAATTGTCCTCATTCCCCAATTCCCCTTCAACTTCCAGGGTTGGCTCTCAGACATTGTTTGGTTCGTCTGCTGTTAATTCCCTGCATTTGTTCAGTGTCAATATAGCAATATGCTGGCAGTGCAGGGAGCATTTATGTGTGCAGGAGTTTATTTTTTTAATTAGGAAGCCACAGCACCGATCCTGGCACAGCTCTCACAGAACCTCTATGGATTTGGATCTGTGGCTTCCCACTCCTTCCAATTCCCAGGGCATTTTTCAGGTTTTCTCTCTACACTGGGCTCTTTGGAGTTACCTCTGTAGCAGCTCTTCAGTCATGTCTAGTTCCAGTTTGTTTTCATAGTTAGGCAGTATCCTTGTATGAACATGAACAGAAAGATTTTTACTTTCCCCCAGTAAAGTTTAATGTTAAGTTTACAATGCAGATGGGTTGGAATGATTTGCAATTCATTATCATACAGCAATTACAGTGTGAAAGGCTGAGCAAAGCTTTTACACTGCCCAAGGAGGGACAGACTGGCTTTGCAAGAGCTACCCCTAAATATTCAGGAGCTGTGCCCACAGGACTGTATTTTACAAATATATCCCCAAAATCTGTTAATTTGAACAACCATCACCACCTGGAAAACATGATAAAATACATCAACAACGAGACAAAACTGAAGGAATGAAGGCTCTGCTGTCCAACCCAGCACAACAAAAGCAAGCAGTGCACATTTAAGACAGCTGAGCAGTGATGCACACACCCCCTCACTGGACACATCAGGGGGTTTGGGTGCCAACAGAGATGATTTAAAAAGAAGAAACCTGCCAAGCACATGGGTTTACATTGGGTTGCACTTCTATCTCCTACCAGCCTGATCTTGCTCTCCGTACCACGTGTTCCAAGTCCCCACCAGAGCACAAGGGTAGTGTTTTTCTTCATGAATCTTTGGCAGCACCTCTTGACTTGAAAACAAGGAACACACAGACACTGGGTTGCATTGCCTTCAGGGAGGCCACAGTTGATAAATGTATAACACAGCATCATGCTAGGAACATTCACAAGCTTTATTTTGCAGAGGAGAAAGCTGAAATACCAAATTCGGAAGGTGGCTACACCCCCACGGAGAATTCAGGTGAGTGTTACCAGTTTGTTAGAAATCTATAATAAAGTATTCCTTGGATGCAATAAATTAGGTGTATCTAAATAATTATTTCTATCTAAAAGGTTATCTAACACATCAAGAACACAAATATCAGGATATCTCACTGAAAACTCAGTCTACATGGGTGATTTACTTGAGGGAAAGCTTTTCTTTGCTTGAGGAAAAGCTCCCCTCAAAGAGGGGAGAATGCTCAGAAATATGAAAGCACACTTTTCTAAACCAGTTACAATTGCTGAGCTGAATGAATAACAGTAATCTGATAAATTAAATAATGGCTGTAGCTCAGAGTACTGCTTTTTGATTTCATTCAGTGCTCTTACTTTGAGTAAGTGAGTGCAACTCAACCACTAATGAACAGGGGGACTGCCTTAAAAACACCTCCAAGACAAAATTTCTGTCTGACTCTCCCCAGGATTTCTAACACTCTTTCAAACTTTAGAAGTGGCCCATATTAGATGAGGAAATTAAGTGTTGCTGATTGCTGACTTGGCCAAGACAGCTTTCCCTGCACTGTGCCTTGATGAATAAGTCAATTAGTCTGGTTGAACTCTGCCTTTTCTATTTTTCCCTGAATAATTACTCTTCGTCCTCAGTTTGGCTCACAGGCAGTGAGTCTCTGCACAGTATCAAGGAATAAAAAGTAGGCTGGCCTGGGAGTCATTAGAGATGAGTTTTCCTCTAGATTCTTCCACTGACTTTCCAGACAACCTTGAGCAAATCTCATTACCAATTTGTACCTCGACATTTTCTCACTAGCCAGTGTAAATAATATGATAAAATGACTCTACAAGGACATTCTCACGGATGTTTCACCACTAGTTCATTTTTGCAAAGCAGAATAAGATCCTGGAAAGGCAGCTTTGAAGAGGAATGAGAAATTATTGCATAATTCTACCACATACTGTTGCAAATTAGAAAAAAGAATGCCCACAGAACACCTCCTAAAAAAAACTGTCCCTAGTTCTTCAGAAGGGCTCCTTAACCACAGTGATTCATGAAATATTCTTGTAATTATCTTCATTACATTATTTATTAATACCTGATGACTAATCCTCATTTTGATTTGATACAGAATTAACATGTTCATTTTTTTCTTTAGGGAGAGGCAGGAGGGAAGTTCAGAGAGGCTTAATTTTGTTTATTACTTTATTCAAGTTGTCTCCTTGCCTGAAATACTTCAATTTGCTTTGGGAAGAATCAATCTAACCACAGATATTTCATCTGACTGCTGTCAGCAGTTTCTTTCTTTGCTGTTTTTCTCTTTCCTTGAAAACAGAAATCTCTGCTCTCACTCAACATTCAGGCAGCTCATGAATTACTGCAGAGAAGTGATTCCCTGTCTTGCATAATTGGACATGTTTATATTCAGCTTTTAAACAAGCTGGCTGAATGTTAATTGTCCTTTACTGTGTTATCTATTTTTTAAACAAAAAAAAAAAAGCTAAAAATAGCTCGATTGAATGCTGTTCCAGTGGCTTTTTATGCTTCTCTAGCAGGGAAAACAGTTCTGGGTTATCCAGCCCAACACAGGGAGGGCACAGAGGTGACAGCTGAGGACATGAACTGGGAGCTGGGACTTCCTCCCCTCCCTCCAGCCCAGCTGCTGTGCTCACACTTCAAAGTTGGTTGCAGAAAGGTGTCATTATGCTGAGAATGTTTTTTATTGTCAGTGAGAAAAGCACTGCTGGGTGCAAGGCTCACTCCATCCCCAAATTTAAACACACAGTTCTTTCAGGGCTCCAGAGAGGGGATTGTGGAGGCAGAAAAGGAGTAGCATTTCTGCAGTTTTACCCTTAAAGCAGTCAATTTCAAATATGAGTAATTCCTACCTGTTCTAAAGCTGTCACTTTCTGGGAAAGCTGTCCCAGCACTGCTCCCTTTGGAGGGAATCACCCCAATGCAGAGACCCCATCCAAGGGTTTGTGTAACTCCTTGGCAGCAGCTCAGCAGCAGGACTTGTGCAGGGGGATAAAAATGAGCTGAGAGGAAATCAACCCCTGGGTTTTTAACGTCTCAAAGTTCTACCCGAGTTTAACACTGGTGTAGTTTTATTTACCAGTGATCTCTCTTTCCTTCCAGTGTGCAGACAAAAGCCATCCTCAACCTGGCAGCTGCAGTGGGAATGCCAACATTCCACCTTTCCCTGCAGGGATCAGGAACTTTAAGACCACTCAGGGAAGAGGGAGAGCTGCTTCAGCAAATGTCACCAAAGCTCTCACAACAGGAATCATCCTCAGCTGCAGCTTAGGAAATGACAATGCCAAGAGGGAAGTGGGGTGAACTGAGGACAGGACATTTTGCTTTTTCATAAAATCTATTTAATACCAAATCCTAAAAAAAGCAGATTTTTGTCACCTCCCCTCTACATAACTGCCAATTTTCAGATCAAATCAACATGTCTAAAAGGTGAAAAGAGAACTCACACACTTACCAGAGCTTGTTGTAGGCTTCTAGACATTCAGGTTTGACATTGTGAACTGCAACAACAACAAGAGGGCCGTGAGGCAGGCAGGGACAGAGGGAAGGAGTGGTGCTGCTGAACACAAAGCCATCACTCACACTGGAGCTTGTACAGGCTGCTGGTCTCTCGTTTGGCCAGGAGGTTGGAGTGGGCGTCTTTCCTGGGATCCACTTTGCGCACGAAGAGGGATTTTAACCAGCTGTCCTCGCGGGCGCTGCGGGCCGAGGAGCCCAGTCCCCTGTGGGGGAACAAGGACAGACCACTGAGCCTCTGCAACTCCCAGCAGGCAGGCAAGGCAGCCAGGGATTTAATGGAAATTATCCTATCACAACCTCCAGTTACACACTGCTGAAACTTCCCACAGAGCCTCTCCCAGCGAGGCAAAGGCAGCTTGTCCCCACTGAGATTTATTCATTTCATTAAATACACTTATCCACTTTATCCATGGTTATTCCCTGTGCAATGGCTGCTTCTGCTGCCTGTTTATCCCACTTTTAACCCACTGTCTTTTAACCCAGGGCTGGGTCTGGCCTGGTGTAAACAGGAGTGAAAAAGAGCAAAAAACGTGCACAAGGAAAACTGCACAGTGTAAAAGGGAAAGGAACTGCCATCTGTTCCTGTGCTGCTTAAAGAAAAAAAGCTCTACAAAAGGCAAAGGGAAATGTCTTTCAAGAGGAAAAACAGCATGAAAGACTAATTTGGGATAAAAAAATAAGAGTGGTAGGGAATAACCAGTGAGGAAATACTTCAATTCTGGATTCTGGCAACTGCATCAGGTAGGGACACCGAGGCAGGCTCTCTGTACAACATCCATGTTTTCCTTGCCTCAAACACGAGGTTTTCACTGCTTTTTCTTATCTAATCTTTATTCAGCTTCTCCAAGTACACTTTCAAAATAGTGTCACCTCCCTTTACATGAGAGCATACAGACCAAGTGATAACTGTGGTTTTTAAGCCATATGTTAAAGGAATTATTTGTCTTTTCCAGATGACCAGGACAAGGAATCTGATGCATTTAACGGCTCCTCTACAATGTCTGACAAGCTCAAATGGTTTTGCTTCTTTCTTTCAATTTGCTTTTGTTTTGATAGCCTCATAGTAGTCACAGTGAAAAAAATTAACTGTGTCACAAGCTTCTCCTGAAATACTAAAATATTAAATGTGGTACTTATACCACATATATTTACTTCTAAGCTGGAAATCTCAGCCTTTTCCTGCCTCAGATGTCAACTTTTCACCCTTAATCACTGCCTTGGGGATCCAGAACACAGCTGGGCCTCCAGCCCAAAGCTTTCTTCCAGGGGAAAAAAATATGGAAAGAAAATCAATTTCCTTTGGGAAAATATCCCCCTGGACACACCTGTATTACACAAAAGCAGTTTTTTTACAGCAATCCACCTTTTAATCTTGGTGTCAGAAAAGAACATAATGACCTGGTTCTGCCCATGGCAGCAGGATGGAGGAGAGGGAAAACACTTCACAGCAGAGAAACAACAACCACAACTGAGATGACCTTCAGCATGAAGAAATAATGTATAAATCTCAGTGTACTTATTGAAAATGGTGCTCTCCTTGCCCTGGGCGCACACACAAACTTGTGGCTGTGCTGGAAGCCAAGCAGCTATTCCTGAGGGCAGGCATTTGAAGGGCATTCCATGATAAGGCTGCTGCTGGAGCAGAGCTTCCTCCGAGCTCAGAGCAAAGGACTGAACCCCACCTCAGAAATTCAAGTTCTGTTTAAAAAAGCTCTCTCGAATTAAACCCTCAGTGGCTCCAGGAGTCAGAAGTCAAGCCCATTCCTGCAATACTCAGACCTGTAAACTCTCACCGTTCCCTCCCCTTTATTAAACAAAGTCAGCAAAGTAATATTTAGAAAACTCATCTATGAGGATCATTGTTTGCAGCAAACTTTGAAGAGGAAAGAGAGAAATAATCTTGATGCAATCACATTTTTTGTGAACTTCAGCAGCAGCAGAAGTAAGCTGGAGCTACAGGGATAACTCAGAAAAGCAAATTTCTTTGCTATTAAGAGAATCACATGACTTGAATGTTAAACTGCACCTAAAACTGGAGGTATGGCTAATTTTCAAAATAATGACATGAGTAATACTTTACATTTATGGAAAATCTTTTTCCCAGCAGCTGTAAAGCTCCTCAGGAGCACTGACTAAATCACAACTAAATATACACCTCACATAGAATAAAGGTAACAGGCTGAGTTTATTAAAGCAGATGTTCACTGCACCCAAACTGAGATTCAAGGGCCTGATTTTTAATCAATATCCTAAAATACCACTGTCACCCCATACTCCCACAAACCAAACCAAAAAGCCCTGAATTGATCACAGGTTCAATTATTTGGGCAATCTGCACCCACAATTACTTCTGGAGGAGCAGGGACTGAATTCAGGTCTTTAAACAGCTGTGAGCATCAACTTATCTTTGGCAGCAAGTTCTCAACCTGCAAATATTAACTGTGGGCTTTGCTTTCTTGCTACAAAGGTTGGGCTCTGAACACAAAAGGCTAACACTGAATAGCTTGCTTAGATTAGATTTAATATGTCAGGGAAAACACTTCTTTACACTTAGCTCCTGCTTTAGCACAAAATATAAGCTGGGTGGGACATACCAAGTCAAGTATTTAGATTCTGTAGTAACCCAAACCTGCCTGGAAGTATAAGAAAAACAATTTGTCTATCGTTTGACAGTTTTTGATCTGTGGTCTAAACAAAGTTTATTTAAAACTAAAATAACCCCAAAACATGCACATAAAATCTCACAACATATTCCCTGCACAGTTGTTTGCAGGGATGCTTTTAGTCTTGCCTATTCTGAGGCTTGAGGCAGCAGCTTTCACTGTTTCAAAAAAAAGGGAGGAAAATCTGTGTAGATCCATCCTAGCTTGGGAATTCCTGTGTTTCCATCGCCCTGTGCCTTCTTCCTACACCTGGAAGGTGCCCAGGAGCTCTCGGGTACCCCTCCACACAGAAATGCAAATCTCTGCACCCCAAAACTTGAGGGATGTTCCTCTCTGTGTGCCCTGGCACGGGGAGAGGGGTGCGGATCCCAGCTCCCATGGGAAGCATGCATGCCCCAGCCCTGACTCCCAGGAGGATTCTACGAGCAGCTGTGAACGGTGAAGGCAGGAAGATGTCGGGATGTGCAGTCACGCACCCCAGCGCTGGGGAAACACAGATTTTGGGCTGTGCCTCCTGACAGGAGCCGCTGCTGCCTGCGCACCCTGTTGCTCGGAGGAGTTGGGATCGGGAGCAGCTGCACGCCCTGATCCTGGAGGGATAGCCCGGTGCGCAGCATCCAGGTATTTCAATGCCAGCATTCCACGTGTGCGGCGCGGCTGGACACCCCGAAAGCCGTGGCTGTGGGGTGCCCGGTGCCGTGTGGGGGTGTCCATGCAGGGGTGGGGTCCGTGAGGGGATGAGGCGTCAGCGCAGGGAAGGGCTCTCGGTGCCCCCTCAGCCCGGGCACCGGCGGCCGCCTGGTCCCGGCGGCTCGGCCATCCTCCCACCCAGGGGCGGACTCGGAGGAGGGAAGGAAGGGGCCGGCCTTGCGGCCCGTGACCTTGAGGGACACGCCGCCGCCTCGC